TCTCTCTCTCTCTCTCTCTCTCTCTCTCTCTCTCTCTCTCTCTCTCTGTGTGTGTGTGTGTGTGTGTGTATGTATGTGTGTGTGTGTGTATGTATGTGTGTGTATGTGTCTCTGTGTGTGTATGTTCTTTGGGCATTTGAGGGTAGAATAGAGGATTGAAGTTAGCATTCATTTTGGATTTTTGTTTTGTCTTTTTACTTAAAACAGTAAATAGTCCAAAACATGCACAAGGTGATGGAAGGAAAGGGACTTCATTATCATCCCAACATCCAGAAACAACTAGAATGGTAAACTGCCCAATGCCCTTCCAGTCTGTGTAACAAATGGGTTTTGTATGAACATAGTGTTTGGAAACCATTCTTTAAATTTTGCCATTAACTGTAATCTATCTATCTATCTATCTATCTATCTATCTATCTATCTATCTACCTACCTATCTAGACACACACACACACACACACACACACACACACAATTTGTCTGCATTAATTTAAACATATGCTACTAACAGTTTGTATTCTTATTTTTGTGATAGGATCATCCTCCCAACTCCCACCCTATAGTTTAAACTGGTTTGTTTTTGTTTTTCAAGACAGGGTTTCTCTGTGTAGCCCCGGCTGTCCTGGAACTCACTCTGTAGACCAGGCTGGCCTCGAACTCAGAAATCCGCCTGTCTCTGCCTCTCAAGTGCTGGGATTAAAGGCGTGCAGCACCACCGCCCGGCTTAAACTGGGTTTTGCAAACACATTCAGCGTGGATGAAGGCAGGATTGATTTGATTTCATGATGAGCCTTGTCTTGGGACTGCTCAGTTCCGCACAGGAAGGCACAGTGAGTGTGGTCCTTAGGGACATTGGTGGGAGGGCCAGGTAGCCACACAACCAGCCAGTGGTTGTTTCAGGCTCCTTGAGGCTGTGCCCTCACGATTTACAATGAAGTCAGGCTTGCCTCCCCTCCCCAGAAAAGCCTCTTGCATGCTATTTCTTGCATAACTGCCCAGAAAAAGCAAGCCAGCCTTCCTACTCACAGAAGCTGGAGGGTCCTTACTGAATACCAAGTCTATGGAACAGAGACGGGTCAGGCCGCTGTCGCACTCCACAGTGTGAATAGCCCTGGACCACTTACTTCTCCATCCTGTGGTAAAGCATTCCTCGCTGGAAGTAGGCCACTGCCGAGTGCTTGTCTCTGTTGATGCTTTTGGTGAAGGCCTGCAGGAGGAAGGGTCCATACATGGTCACAGAGCCAAGCAGAGAGGAAGTGTCAGAGTATTGCCAGGGAGAGGCAAGACGTGTCATAATGATTCGGCAATTCAAGGTGACAAAATTGGCCCAGGGTACAAATGCCTAGGGTGTTATTTCCTCTTTGCATAGCTTGTGGTAAGTTACTTAATCTTGCTGAACATCCCTGTTTTTCTCTGTCAATTAAGTGATGGGGACAGAGAGATGGCTCAGCAGATAAGAGTGCTTGTGGCTCTTTCAGAGGACCTACATACAATTCTCAGCACCCACAGAGTGGCTTGCAACCATCTGCAATTCTAGTTCTATGGGCTTTGATAGCCTCTCTGGCCTCCTTGAGGATCAGGTACACATGGTATCAAAACATACATGCCATCAAAACACCTGTTCGCATTAAAAAATTAAAATGACAGTGATATAGTTAGAATGCATATTGATTGTATTTGCTTGATATAATTTTTTTGTGCAATCATTTATATCATTAAAATAATCACAAATAAGAATACACATATGCTATTATTCATATTGGATTAAGCAGGAAGACAAGGACGGGGGGATGAGAGGCCTGGCAACAGAAAAATGGAAAGAAAGATCTTGACCAGTGAGGGTAGAAGCCAGTGATCTGAGGGTGTGAGGTGGCCTTTGGCACAGCATAGCCAAGAATCCCAGGTCCAGGCCAGGGTATGGGCACCCAGGGCCTATGGCAGAGCTTTGTCTAGGAGCACTGCCTCCACAGCTCTGAGGATGCAGCCAGGCCCCCAGCCTGCCCCCTGAGGGAAGGAGGTGGAGGAGGCAGTCCTCCCTCCAGGCTGGATGGGTCGGTGCTCAGTGCCATCTGCTTGCTGACTGTGGAGTCTGAGCCAATCAGGTCACTTCCTCTCCTCCTGTCAGGATGTGGGCCATGTTCGTTCACCTGCTGGCCAGAGGATGACCAGTGTGAACTGGTTCTTTAGAGGTGGTTTAGGCTGGGGAGATGGTTCTGTAGGTAAAATGCTAGCCTCATAAGCTTGACAGGCTACAGGTGTGGGGTCACATCACATCCTTTCTAATCTCAGTGCTGGGGAGACAGACAGGCTCTCTAGCCAGCGGAGCCTAATGGCCAAGTTCTGGACCAATAAGAAACCCTACCTAAAAAAAAAACAACAACAAAAACTAGGGTGGACAGCTCTTGAGGAACTAAGAGATGGTTGAGCTGGCAAAGACACTTGCTGTGAAATCCTGGAGATTTGGGGTTGATCACTGGAACCCAGGTAAAAATGGCAAGAGGGAACTCCACAAAGTTGTCCTTTGACTGACACATGTGTGCCATGACATATGCAGCCACCCCCACCTACGTCACACACACACACACACACACACACACACACACACACACACACACACAATCAATCAAGAGGCCTGGTGGTCATGTTGAACACCCTTGATCCCAGCACTTGGGAGGCAGAGGCAGAGGCAGGCAGATTTCTGTGAGTTCAAAGCCAGCCTAATCTATAGATTGTGTTCTAGGATAATCGGGACTCCACAGAGAAACTCTGTCATAAAAAATCGAAATAAAATAAAGAGAATTGAGCATGTTCAACCTCAAGCCAGAGAAAAAGTATTTTTAAAAGATGCTGAAATGTCCTACCCATACTCTTGGTGAACTTCATGACTTAATTACAGTGTGGTTTTCCTCAGCTAGACTCAGAATCCTTAGAGAAGTACCCTGAGTTGTTGATCAGAATTGTTCTTTGAGCAGACCAAAGAATGGTAAGTTCCTGGAAGCCATAAGAGGCATTTTACCACTGGATGCAACGGTAAGACAGAGAAAGCTTATCCAGGAGGCGTTGGAAAAGAAAACACAACTGAGGAAGTCTTCACAAAGGGTTAAAAGATGATCTTGGGTAATGTAGAGATCTCGTAAAAAGCAGAGCCCCACCCAGAAAACTTGCTGGGGGGGGGGGCTTTTAAAACTGCCTACCAGGTCAGGGGCAGTTAGTTGGGGCCTCTGAAGTAGTTCTGGAGGGCTTTTGTTCCTTTCAGGCTTTGAGAGATGAGGTTTCTGAGGGCAGAAAGGCTATAATTACAGGGGCCCCTCAACTCACCTGCTCAGCTGCCTGCATGTTTTCCAGGATGGTATGCATGCAGCCGATGTTGAAGCAGATCCTCGAGTGCGGGTCCTGCACCTCACTGAAGGCCTCCAGGGCACCCTTCCAGTCCTTCTTGTCGGCTGCAAGCACCCCTTCATTCCAGAGTCTGATGGCCTCGGCTAGGGACATGGTTAGGTGTTTACCAGAAGACAGGGTGGTAGTTCAAGGTGTCTCTCCTCAGAGCTGCGGGGTGCTCCAGGCTTTAGGGTCCCAGCCTAGTGCGCAGACTGGGGTCTAGCCTCCCTTTGGGAGGTTTCATAGCATCAGGAAGTTTCCCCACCGTCCAGGAACTGACGCATAAGTTCGCATGAGAGAGAAAAGGAAAGAGAGAAGAGGGCTGGAGGAGGCTGGGAAAGGGGAAGTAATCAGAGGCCGGCTGCAGTGGACCAGTCAGTTCCTCTAAGTGCTTCTGCTAAGTCCTGTCCTGGCCACCTCCTACTTGTCTCTGCCTTCCACTCCCTCTGTGGCAGCTTCAGGATAGGGGGACCTCAGCAGGTCTTGACTTGACTCTTTTCATCCTTGAAGGGCTCCCTTGCTCTGGGTATCAGGCTGTTGTTGACACGCTTGCTTGTGATCTGTGTAACCCAGGCTTGACTGAACTCCCAATGCTCTGGCCTCAGACTTTCAATTTCTGGAGTTATAGGTGCACAGCCATGAAACTAGCTGTTTTGTTTTGAAATCTGTGAGTGGGGAGGAAACATGCTACATATTTCTGAGACAGGATGGAGGATCTTGAATATCTATTCAGGTCTGAGATAACTTTAAGGGAGTTCACAAGGGTCCAGTTTCTTGTAAATACCCAAATTGGGAGGCAGACATGACAGTAATTACCACCTCTCTGTCTGTCTGTGAGAAGCTGAAGACACGGCTCCTTGTGTTGATGACTAATGAGTTCACTGGTCTTTATAAATACAGATTTATGGAATCCTTTACTTACTGCCCTGGTAAAGTCAAAGTTAATTTAAAAACAAACAAATAGACAGACAGACAATAACAACAACAAAAACTTTTCTGAGGAAAACCGAGGTAGTGTGTCTAAATGATGAGATCCGCTGAAGTCTTGACTTCTTGGTAGGCGAAATACAGTTGATGAGGGCCAAATACATGAACATAGCTTTCACTTCCCCAACTGGCCTCTATGACCCATGGCTGTGATCCCTCTGTTCTGTCACAGCACACAGTTCCCTCTGATAATCTGTGGCTCAGTTCGTAATTATGTCCCCAGAGCAGAGACAGTCAATACTTCCCACTGTTAGCCAATGGCCTTTCAGTCACTCTTCTTCCCCAAGCATCCTTATGTCAGAACCCAAGTTCTGCTCAATTGCCTGTTTCCTGAGTCAGTGTGAGGGTTAAATCATATCACATCTCCCACAATGCCCCAAGAGAGGGTTTGTCAAAGGCCAGCTCAACAGTATGTCCCCAATCCAAGTTGGAGATGAAGGGCTGGTGACAATGTAAAGTTGTTGCACACACACACACACACACACACACACACACACAGAGAGAGAGAGAGAGAGAGAGAGAGAGAGAGAGAGAGAGACAGAGAGAGAGACAGAGAGAGAGAGACAGAAAGATAGAGAGACACAGAGAGACACAGAGACAGACAGAGACAGAGAGAGACAGAGAGAGACAGAAAGAGGACAAAACAAGAATCCAACAAGCCCCAACAACTTTATACATATATACATACATATACATACACATTTGGTGGATGGAGCAAAGCTCCAACAACTTTATTTTTCCTCTTACAGAAAAGATTTCCAAGCAATGCAAAAATCACAATATACAGGTAAAAACCAAATTATTACTAAGAATCCACATACATTTGTAACTAGGCAATTTGTTATAGACTAACAAAGTGTACGCAGGCAAGGTAATTTTCTCAGCCAGTTTCTCTTACTAGCAGGCTGTAATTTGGGGCCAAAAAAGAAAGGATCAATTATTTTATTATTTATCCTAAAAAGAAATCTTATAAAACTCTTAAAAGAATCACAAATCTGAACATTTATATAAAAAACAATCAGTCATTTCTACTTTAAATCCTCAGGGTGCCCACCCACTCACCAACAGTTTTTATTAAACCATACCAGGAAGCTGAGGGCAAAAACAGGTACAGGAAATTAATTATCATCTGATCATCTTGACCCGGGTTTGGCAAGGAAGGCACATTAGCTGATGTTAGCCCCGCTGCATTAGCTGATGTTAGCCCCGCTGCCATTATTTTTGTTCCCTGACCTTAAAACATCCTTCACTCAATAATCAAAAGCATACCTTTCCAAATTGTTCCCCAAGATTTTCTACATCAGAATCACTAACAAAAACATCTTAACAAGGTCACTAACAACCTACATCTCCAAATTCTTTCTAAGGGTGGTTGACGTTACTAACCATCTACATCTCTAAGTTCTTTCTGAGGGTGGAGGTTGAATCATTAATCTGCTCCAGCAGCAATACCTGAAAAAGATCCATCACTATTATTGTAAGTGCCAGTGACACTGCCCAGTGAGGGGCTGGAAAGACCTTAGAGGTTTTATACAACTCACAGATCAGGAGGGATGTGGGGATCTCGAGGACAACAAGCAGAGCCATGGTCCATAACAGCATGAAGTCCTTAGGACACGTACTCCTTAGGGTTTGTCTCGCTGGGACACACTAATTGGATTAACTGGTGGGCCATACTCCATGAACTCTAAAGTTGTTTTCTGTTCCTTTCCACAGCCTGGAAACTGTCCTGATTGGTTCAGGCGCAAATGCTGAGTTTGGTTTTTTGCTGTTTTGGTTTGGTTTGTTTGTTTTGTGCCAGAAGCCATCTAGGAAAGCCCATGGCAAACAAGTGAGTTTTCTGGAGATGGCCCACCGTTCTGCATGGCTGTGATGGGTGTGCTTTGAGATGCAGGGTCCTCAGAGACTTTGTCCCAGGATTGCTTCTCGCTGCTGATATGCCTTTCTTGTCACTATTGCATGACCTAATGATCCCTGGGCATTGACCTACCCTATTGGGAAGCTCTCCTGCAGAATCAATATGAAGATGTATTTTCATGTAGTAATGCTGTTTAGATGAATTGATGATTTCATAATTCTTGATAATGATTTTATACTCCTAAATTAATACAAGCAATTTCAAACCCCCTATAGAATAAAAGCTGCAAAATAGAATTTTGTAAGCCTTCATGTTTCATGAGCTAATTGCTCTAGGAAAATAAACCAGGCTTGGAACAAATTCACATTCAAGAAAAACATTCCTTCTAAGTTAGGAATGAGGTCACTCTCTGGTAACTAAAGGTCATAAACTGGAAATGGGCAATTTACTGTAGGTGCAAGGACAGAAAATAAATGATGAAATAGTTTATCTATACTAGACTTAAAAATAATAAGGCACAAGTCAGATAATTTGTCTCTTGACAAAACCATGCTAACTTGGGACATAAGAACTATTGCTTTAAGCTTATAATGACCTTGGGGAGCCATAAAATACAAAATGAATGTTTTGTCAGGTGCTAGTTTAGTCTTAATGGACAGACACGTACACAGTTCTACTGTAACTCCTGAAGCCTTATCGACCCATGACATGAGCTATTGCCTTAAACTTACTACAAACTTATGAAATGTAAAAATGCTTTAAAAACTGTGTGATCAATTATTCTGAGAAGGTATAAAAAACTAAGAACAATAAAGTGGTGGTGTAACCCTTTCCACTTCTCTCTGTGTACCTGCCCCCCCCCCCTTCTCTCTCTTTCTCTTTCATTCTGGTTAAGGAACTCTGGGGCTCTCACCTGGCCAAGGAGAGGCCAGAGTCAAAGAGTAAAGAGCCCAGGTAACTAAGTTTCTTTTCTTAACCCCCTGCTGCTATCAGTGAGGGGGGGAAGAATTGTCAGAAGTGGTCAGCTTTTGCAGACCCCCTCCCCTCCAATAGCAAGAGAGAGTTAAACTGCCAGAAGCCATCAGCCTTTGGCCCCAGCACTACTCTTCTACTAGAGAGGGTTAAAGGCCAGAGGTCATCAGCTTCTGGTCTGCCTCTCTGGGCTCCATCTCAGTACCCGAATGTCGGGTTGAGACCCCAGCAGTTTTGTTTGTTTGCTTTTGTTTTTTTGTTTTGTTTTGAGACATAATTTTGCTATGAAGCTCTGGCTAGCCTGGGATTTTTATTGATCCTCCTGCCTCTACCTCCCAAGTGCTAGGATTACAGATATAAACTACCAGTCCTGGATTTTTACATGTACTTATTTATTCTGTATATGTATATAATTGTGCATGTGACACCACACACTTGTGGTGTTCCAAGTACAACTACAAGAGATGTTGTTTATTCCTTTGTTGGACACTCATCTAAACTTTCTGCCTCAGGAGTTCAGAATCCATGTCTGGTTTCATCTGGTATTCCACTGTATCCTTCATGTCTATCATTTGATTATTAAATTCTGTGTTAAATATTGATGCCAGGCATAAAATCATGACTGTTGACATCTTACCCTAGTCACAATGAGTAGTAAGCTATATTTATTCTTTCAAAGAATCCTCATAATAAGCACACAAGAGACTGGGGTCATTTTCAACACTGTATATTTTAAACAATGCCATGCATCTCCCTAGGGGTACTTAATAAAAATCTGATGATGAACTGAATGAGTGATTAATTGAATGAACAATTGGGACCTTACATATGGATTCTCACCATAAATTTCTTTGAAGATTTTACCTTTATCCGTCCTGCCACTCTACCCCACCCCACCCCACCCCATCGGTACTGAAGAGCAAACCCATCGCCTCTTACATGCTGGGCAGGTACTTTACCATTGAACTCCATCTCCAGACTCTTCTCTGTTTTTTAAAAAATGATTTTAAGACAAGATCTCACTAGGTTTCCAAGAATAGCTTTGAACTTGCTTTGCAGCCTAGGCCTGGCTTGAATTTGTCACCCTGCTGCCACCTCCTAAGTAGCTAGAATTCCAGGCCTGTACAACCAGAGCCCACCTGCCTGTCCTTGGAGAATCAGTTTTGACTCACGTCCTACATGAAACCCTCCCGAGATGGCCTCAGAGATGTGTTTCCCTTCCTCTGCTCTTCTCTTCATTCTGTAACCCAGCATCGGAACACGAGGGCTCTGGTGTCTAATCTCTGCCTCGGCTACCCAGCCAGCTGTAAATGCTCGAGGCAGGGAGCATCCTTCCTGCTTTCCTTGTTTCCCACAGAACCTAGCACCTAACATCCTGTATCAAAGGCTGAGTAAATACGGCAGATCTAAAATATTTTAATAAAATAGCATATCTGGCTTAAGTTAAGTCCCTCACATCTTAGCTCTCTTTTGGGGTACAG